GGTTTGTTTCACAATTATAACCCCAAATACCATTCATTTTGGAATGAGAACGTACCCAATATCCTCAAAATACCGAATAGTACGTACCAAGACGTGGGCAGATCATTTCAATTAGAAATGATCTGTGCACAATTTCTTTTCTTTATAAGGTAGTATTTTTAAGTTTTCGTTTTTAGTAGTTTGAATTTCGCATTACAGATTCCTGTTGAATAAATAACATCTTCTTAAACATTTTATACCCTGCATCACAGCATGAAATTATGTTTTTATCCGATTTTAAGTAAGTGATGCACCAAGGATCAAAAATATGGCCGATAGGTACAAAACGTACTGAAAGTAGTGTAACCTAACCTGTGACAAGTTTCTTTGAAATCGGTTTAGATGTAGCTACCATTTATATTTTGGTCCGATTTTAGTAAATGGTGCCCCAAACTCCTAATTTTTTTCAGATTGACGCGAACTTTTTAAAAAATTGAGTATAGATTGACGTAATTGCTTTTTCTAGAAATGTAGACTTTGTCCATATACTCGATCGACTTCATGTTTATTGGGTTTCAAATAATCAACGAGTGTATGATTGAGATTTGCTTTGAATCGAATTACATGATTTTGTCTAATTCTCTATCTATTCAAATGAATAGGTTATAGAATGACATGTTTATGGATTGATCTAAGTCGGTTAAGATTTGAATATGGATCACATATTTTAGTTCATCCAATTCAATGTCAATGGTTCTTCGAAAATGCGACGAGTGTTAGAATGCATGTGTTGAATATACCCAAAGTGCTGAAGGATACCATTTATATGGCCCGTCCGACTTTACTACTTTCCTTACTGATTTTATTTTAAATTTGAAGTTATATCTCTGTTGGTCTAACTGAACTGTGTTGTATAGCCAACCGTCTGCGATCGATATAGCCATAACTTTATATTTTCTTCTTTTATGTTGTCAATATGGTATAATTCAATATAATTTCTGCGTGTTCGTGTACACAAGTCATGCCAATTCTTATTTGTATAACTAATTGGAAATAATTGATTTGCAAATTTCCACGAAACGAAATTTGAAATAAAGAACTTCCTTCATACAATATCAGCACTTCCCATCAGCAGTGTGATGAAACGAAAATCAAATACATCTGTTTAGTTTCCGATAAGAAACTTCCGCTTTTTATAAGAGCGAAGAAGACAACGAACGAACATGTCATAAATTAATAAAAACTAGTAACAACAAATTAAATCATATATTAAAAATTAACATACATCTTTGAAAACTGTTAATCCATTAATTTTTATGGCTTTGGTTTCATGCGGTCGAAAGACAAAGCGAAGTTGAGTAACTAGTGTTGGACAAAATGTTGAACAGATGTTCATTAGATTGACTAATTATATAAAGTTATATAGTTTTTAAATGATGGAACAACTGAACTAACTCAAAGATACGAGCTATACGGTTATTTTGTGGTCATATTGATATCGAAAATATCTGAATGTGGGAATTAGTTACATAGAAATAAATGATCAAAAGCTGAGGTAGCAGATCGACAGAAAGACCACGGGACAAAATTTGGGTTTTTATACCCTACACAACTATGTTGTCAGGGTATTATAGCTTTGTGCAGCCCCAAATGTTTGTAACGCCGCGAAATATTGGTCCTAGACCCACCTTTAAGTATACCGATCGTCATATCTCGACTAGCTGAGTCGATCTACATATGTGTGTCCGTCCGTCCGTCCGTCCGTCTGTCCATTATAATTTGTAAACACGATACAGGCCACAGTTATGGACCAATCTTCACGAAATTTTGCATGTAGGATGGGTTCTGGCCAATGAAGACCCCTATTGTTTTTGGAAAAGATCGGTTAATATTTAGGGGATGAAATGGACCAAATACTAAATTTTTGTCGGTTTTTCTAGTCGCTCCAGAGGCCGCAATTATGGCCCAAACACCGCGAATTTTTGAATGGAGAAGGGTATCGGGCCAGAGAATAAGCATGCATGTTTTGATAAAGATCGGTCAATATTTAGCGGGTCAAATGGACCCTGACTTTTGTGTGAAAAATGACAAAATTTGTATTCTATGGCATATATATTTACTCCTGGAGGATGTAGACCCCAGGTGTTGATAGCATATCCAAGAGGAGTCGTTGGCCTTTAAATTCATACCAAATATAGTGATGTAACTACTCAGATGTGGGAGTTACAGTCAAATATTTACAGGTGCTTACGTATTCAGATATTATTTAGTAACCCATTACCATATTAGAGGGAGAAATATCGCGCTGATGGCTTTGAAATTTTTCATGAAGTTCCAGTTTTGGTCAAGAACAACGCCTACAATTTTCGGTGATGATCAGATTAAAATTTTGGGATGAAATGGACGGAGAACATAATTTTTGGTGTGTTTTCGAGTAGAGTATAATCCGAAAATCACAACACAACCCACCGTGAAGGTAATCTGGACAAGTAATTAGAAGGACTGTACTGAATATTCGAAAAAAGTAAGGAAGAGGTGTTGTTAACCTCTAATCGGACAAGAGGGGGCAAATATCACGAAATATTACTCAGACTCGGAATAAACATCCTCAGAAAGTTAGAGTTCGTGGTAGTTGTGTAGGGTATCGTATGGTCGGCCCCGTCCGACTATACTGCTCCGCTCACTGGTTATATTCTATATCGGTATATTTAACCCCCTAGCAAATTCTCCCGACCTCGTCATCATATATGGAGACTACGCCAAAAAATGATATGTACAATTGTCCAAAAGCCGGGTTATAACCTAATTTTTTATAGATTTTTTAAATATTTTTTTATAGAAGACTATCAAAGGCGTAGATTTTTTAAATAATTTTTAATAGAAGATTATAAGAGGCATATATTATTTAAATATTTTTTTTATAGAAGACTATTAGAGCCGTAGATTTTTAAATAATATATTTTATCAAAAGATTTTTATACCCTACACAACTACGTTGTCAGGGTATTATAGCTTTGTGCAGCCCCAAAAGTTTGTAACGCCGCGAAATATTGGTCCTAGACCCACCTTTAAGTATACCGTTCGTCGCATCTCGACTAGCTGAGCCGATCTAGACATGTGTGTTCGTCCGTCCGTCCATTATAATTTGTAAACACGATACAGGCCACAGTTGTGGACCAATCTTCACGAAATTTTGCATGTAGGATGGGTTCTGCCCAATGAAGACCCCTATTGTTTTTGGTAAAGATCGCTTAATATTTAGGGGATGAAATGGACCAAATACTTAATTTTTTTCGGTTTTTCTGGTAGCTCCAGAGGCCGCAATTATTGCCCAAACATCTCACATGGAGAAGGGGATCGGGCCAAAGAATAAGCATGCCTGTTTTGATAATGATCGGTCAATTTTTAGCGGGTCAAATGGACCCTAACTTTTGTGCGAAAAATTACAAAATTTGTATTCTATAGCGTATATATTTACCACTGAAGGACATAGACCCGAGAAGTTGATAGTATATCCAAGAGGAGTGGTTGACCTTTAAATTAATACCAATTATATTGTTGTATGTGCTCGGATGTGGGAGTTACACCTAAATATTTACAGGTATCTCCGTATCCGTATATTATTTAGCAACCCATTATCACTCTAGAGCGCGGAACTATAGCGCTGATCGCTTTGAAATGTTCCATAAGGTTCCAGTTATGGTCAAGGACAACGCCTATAATTTTCAGTAATGATCAGATAATAATTTTGGAATTTTTTGTGTTATTTTCGAATCGATCTATAGACCACAAATGAAAGCCGAACATCACAACACAACCCAAGGTGAAAGGAATCTGGACAATAGCTGTACTGAATACTCGTAATATTCGGAAAATATGTCAGTGTGAGGAAGATGTGCTGTTTACCTCTAATCGGGCAAGGGGATGCCAATATCACGAAATATTGCCCAGTCTCCGAATAAATATCCGCAGAAAATTTGAGTTCCTTTGTAGTTGTGTAGGGTATCGTATGGTCGGCCCCGTCCGACTGTACTGCTCCGCTCACTGGTTTTAAATAATTTTTTATAGAAGACTACTGATACAGAGGCGTAGATTTTTTAAATAATTTTTTATAGAAGACTAAATAATTTTAAATAATTTTTTATAGAAGACTACTGATACAGAGACGTAGATTTTTTAAATAAGTTTTTATAGAAGACTAAATAATTTTAAATATTTTTTTATAGAAGACTACTGATACAGAGACGTAGATTTTTTAAATAATTTTTTATAGAAGACTACTGATACAGAGGCGTAGATTTTTTAAATAATTTTTTATAGAAGACTACTGATACAGAGGCGTAGGCGAATTGGGTATAGGTTTATATTTTATTTCCCCATTTTCAGTTATTAATTTGAAAATGAATATCTGAAAATGTTTCAAACTAAATGACAAATTTAATATACTTTTTCACCTACTTATGGCGGAGGTTATAATTATTTTTAATGATTCATTATTAAATACAAATAATTATCTAATTTTATCATCAAATTTGGCTAAATTACGAATGGTCAGTTATCACCTAATATTATCACTTTCATTTATTGAAGTTGAATTTTGTGATAGTTTATAAATTTTGGCATCATTATTTGAAATCTATTAAAAATATTATTGTATCCGGTTTTTCTGTATACTCCCTCCGGCCAGTTTTAATATCATCAAATTCCATAGTTAAAATATTATTCAAATGCATTTATTTATGTTTGTGTTAATTTCAGATATTGTATGCAAAAAAAATTAGCAAAGAATACGAACACAATAACCAGCTACTAACTAAAAATTGTTTTTGGCTACCAGCTGAAGACAATAAGCGTGCAGTGCATTCTTTTGATTTGTTGCGATTTTAAATTGGTTTTAAGAATTATATTTAAGTTAGTGTCGACGTTGTTTGGTTAAGTAGTTTAGATCTAACCGTTCTATTTAGTGGATCGTTAGATATATACATTTCGTAAGGCTAACGATCGCGTCGAATATAATCAATATGAAAGTGTTCACCTGCGTCTTGGTGATGTTTGTCGCCATGGCTGCCTGTACACAGGGCCACTCTATACAGAAACGTTCCTTGGATTTACAAGGCTTGATTCAAACTAAACTCTCGCTGTTGAGTAGTTTAGGTGGAGGCTTGGGCGGTGGCGGAGGTGGTTATGCCAGTGGTGGCGGCTATGCTAGCGGTGGAGGATATGGTGGCGGCTATGGCGGTGGTTATGGTGGCGGTCATGGCGGCGGTTATGGTGGAGGTGCCGGTGGCGCCTCAAAGGTCATAATTGTTGTTGCTGGCGGCAGTGGAGGCGGCTATGGCGGTGGCCATGGAGGCGGCTATGGTGGCGGCTATGGCGGTGGTTACGGAGGCGGCCATGGAGGCGGCTGGAACGGTGGTTGGAATGACTAAATGCTATAGAACAATTTGTTATTATTTGTCAACCAAATCCAATCCAAAAATTAGCTCTTAAGTTCATCGTTAAAAATTTTAAAATAATAAATTCTAATAGTTAACAAAATATCACATTTCGATAAAAGTTGAAAATAGTTTGAATGCGATGAACTCTTTATGTAAATCTTCGTATGGCTACAACAGGATACAGTTTAACTACATGATCTAATATATTAGTTCGATAATGGAAGGTCGATTGAAATGTCCTGGCTCATAGACATTAACAGTTTGCTACTACGCACATACAAACAACCAAAAAATCAAATTTAATTGTCCACTCGATTTCACTCTTAGTGTGAACTCTTACTCTATTTCGAACGTTTTAACTCTCACTCTTTTTCTTTAATAAGCAGTACTCGCGAGCACTCCCAAACAAAATAAAAGAGTGAAGAGTATACTCCTTAAAAAACTCGTACTCTTCTCGTGCTCCCACTCGGGAGTATTTTTCACTCGCGAGTAAAATCGAGCGAATCGGAGCTCTGGTCCTGACACATGATTTGAATAGTCCTTACTTATATAAATATGACAAAAGTTAGATCATTAGATTGTGGATGATGAAAGTTTGCATTTATAATGAAAAACTACTGTTTTATAATCCACATGGCACCATATCAGCAAAAAAGGTCATTTTTAAATTTCTCGTAGACTATCCTTCAAAATACCAAAAATTATGGGGGACATATATGTGGAGACTATGTCTAAGCGTGATATGTACCATCGTAGGTTTTTTTTCAGAAGCGTAGCTTTTTAAATAATTTTTATAGTAGGCTATCAGAGGTATAGATGATTAAAATATTTTTTTATAGAAGACTACCAGAGCGTAGATTTTTAAAATAACATTTTTTTAGGGTTTTTAAGAGGCAAATATTCTTTCAAAAAAAAAAAAAAACAGTAAGGAAAGTAGTAAAGTGGGACTGGGCCGACTATATGATACCCTTCACCACTTTGGGTATATTCTACATATGTATCCTAGCAGACGACGCGTTTTTGTTATATATCTATATCTGAAACGATTTCGGGGAAACTTGCCAGAGAATAATTTATATTACATCAATAGGTTGTGCCAATCGGCCTAGCCATGGATCATTCCACGAAGCTTAGCAACATCATTCTGCACCTAATTCAGTACTCTATGCCAAATTTCGTGCAAATCGAAAGATATATAGGGACTTTGTGTGCATCATTTACCTTAAATCGGACGAAACTACATATGGGAGCTATATCTAAATCTGCACCGATTTTCTCGAAACTTGGCACACATCATTCTGCACTTAATTCAGTACTCTGTGCTAAATTTCGTGCAAATCGAAATATATAGAGGAACTGCGGTGCCCCATTTACCTTAAATCGGACGAAAATATATATGGGAGCTATATCTAAATCTGAACCGATTTTTCTCTATTTCAATAGGGTTCGTCCTTGGGCCAGATAAGTAACTATATCTGCAAATCATCTGAACAGATTTTTCTCTATTTCAATAGGGTTCGTCCTTGGGCCAAATAAGTGACTTGTGCCAAATTTCATCCAAATCGGATCATAAATGCCACCTGTAATTTGTTTACAATTTAACATCTACAGACGGACGGACAGACGGACGGACGGACATGCATAAATCGACTCAGAAAGTGATTCTATGCATATTCTCAAAAGGAACCATGCGTCTATTTCGTTTCCTTTTGCCTGTTTCAAACATATGCCTGTGGTACAGGGTATTATGTCTTTGTAGTATTGTAGTTTTGTTGTACCTGTACCCCACACAAGTATGTTGTCAGGGTATTATAGCTTTGTGCAGCCCCAAATGTTTGTAACGCCGCAAAATATTGATCCTAGACCCACCTTTAAGTATACCGATCGTCATATCTCGACTAGCTGAGTCGATCTAGACATGTGTGTCCGTCCGTCCGTCTGTCCATTATAATTTGTAAACACGATACAGGCCACAGTTATGGACCAATCTTCACGAAATTTTGCACGTAGGATGGGTTCTGGCCAATGAAGACCCCTATTGTTTTTGGGAAAGATCGGTTAATATTTAGGGGATGAAATGGACCAAAAACATTATTTTTGATGGTTTTTCTGGTCGCTCCAGCGGCCGCAATTATGGCCCAAACACCGCGAATTTTTGCATGGAGAAGGGGATCGGGCCAGAGAATAAGCATACATGAAGTATTGATAAAGATCGGTCAATATTTAGCGGGTCAAATGGACCCTGACCTTTGTGTGAAAAAATGACAAAATTTGTATTCTATGGCATATATATTTACTTCTGGAGGATGTAGACCCGAGGAGTTGATAGCATATCCAAGAGGAGTGGTTGGTCTTTAAATTGATACCAAATATAGTGATGTATCTACTCAGATGTGGGAGTTACAGCCAAATATTTACAGGTGCTTACGTATTCAGATATTATTTAGTAACCCATTACCACATTAGAGAGGGAAATATCGCGCTGATGGCTTTGAAATTTTTCATGAAGTTCCAGTTATGGTCAAGAACAACGCCTACAATTTTCGGTGATGATCGGATTAAAATTTTGGGATGAAATGGACCGAAAACTTAATTTTTTGTGTGTTTTCGAGTCGAGTATAATCCGAAAATCACAACACAGCCCACCGTGAAGGTAATCTGGACAAGTAATTAGGAGGACTGTACTGAATATTCGAAAAAATAAGGAAGAGGTGTTGTTGACCTCTAATCGGACAAGAGGGGGCAAATATCACGAACTATTACTCAGACTCGGAATAAACATCCTCAGGAAGTTAGAGTTCGTGGTAGTTGTGTAGGGCATCGTATGGTCGGCCCCGTCCGACTATACTGCTCTGCTCACTGGTTTTATAATAATTTTGTTAGATGACTACCAGAAGCTTAAAGTTAAAACATAATATTATACTGGAGTGTACCAGAGGCGTGGATTTTGAAGTAATATTTTACGGAGACTAAAAGAGGAGTAGATTTCCAAAATAACTTTATAGGAGACTATTAGAGGCGTAGATTTCTAAAATAATTTTTATAGAAGATTATCATATGTTTAGATATGTTAACATTTCAAGGTGTTGTTAACTAGATATTTGGTATTGCAAATGCGGTATATTGGTCTGTTTTGGTGCAGCTTCCATATAAGAGTGCTGCCAAAATTTTGGGTAATTTTCCAACCGAAAGAACTGTAAATTAATATAGAAGACTATCAGAGGCGTAGATTTTTAAAATAATTTTTATAGAAGACTATCAGTGGCGCAAAGTTTTAAAATAATTTTTAAAGAAAGAACTGATTTTTAAAATAATTTTTTAGGAGACTATCAGAGGCGTATATTTTAAAAAATGTTTTTTTTAATTTTTATAGAAATTCTTCAATTTGATGATAAAGTTTTTAAAAATTGCACAGAGATTTCTATTATCCTAGAATATTTGTATTGTAAATGTGGTATATTGGTCCCAGTTTTGGTACAGCTCCCATAAAAAAGTGCCGCCAAAATTTGGGTAATTTTCCAAACGAAAGGGCTGTATTTTAATATTCCAAGTTTTTGGAGGCTGACATACATCTATGCCCATGTTTTAACATTGTCTTCGGTATTTTACATGTTACAGCATTTCAGTGTCTGCAATTCGGTATTAAAACAAAGACAACATTCCAGCCCACAATGCAAATACATGATGCACATTACAAGTCCCGACCGATTACGAGGTTTAAAATGCACACAGCCTGAGGGAGGAAACAAAAAAATTCGGAGGGTTAAATAAACAACCTGTTTGATTTTCATATTAATTATTCTTAAAACAACTTCCGCTAAATTTTACAATGTAAAGTTATATTAACAATAGATCTATAAACAAAATAAACCAGGTTTTTACTTTTTTATATTAATTATTCCAAAAACATCTTCCGCTAAATCTTTACAATGGAATGCTATTTTAACAATAGGTCTATACAATAGGCAAAACTTTGAATATATAGAAGAATTTACTACTAACATCGATTTCAATGCCCAAATGATTATCATCCATAAACTTAATTGGTATTTCATTACTTGTAAAGCTTTGCTAATTTTATTCGTATTCCAATAATAACTAAGTTTGATAAAACACGACCGGTTTCTAATGGCGCGGCTATTATTCTTTGAAAAACGAAGAAGATTTCATTTGTTGAAGAATCTGTTAACAGAACCAATACCAAAAGATGCTGGGTGTGTTTGGTGTGCTTTTCTTTTGTTGGGCCCTATCTGGCAAATTTATGCAAATATACAACACACAACTATGAGCTGAACTGTGAGTGGTAACATAATATTCATGGATTATGGGAACAACAGATACCTTTGCATGTATTAGTTTAATATTCTAAAAGTTTTTTATTTTTTTTTGGTTTCCAAGCCCTTACTAAAGTTCTTGTAGTTGCTGAACTTTTAGTATTCGAATTTTGGTATAAATGACGGCTGATGGTGACACGGTCATTTAGTTGACATCTTGTCGTCGTTCCCTTTATTGGATTACTTAAGTTTGTGGATTTACCGCCGTTTATCGAACCAATCGCCATGAAACCATTCACCTGTGTTGTGGCTCTCCTTGCCCTCTTGGCCTGTGTCCAAGGCCATAATGTCCAAAAACGTTCCATAAGCGAATTGCAAGGTTTGATTAGCTCCAAACTTGGTGGTTTGCTCGGTGGACGTTCCGGTGGCTCTGTCTCAGCTGGCGGTTATTCTGGTGGTCGTGGTGGTGGTTATTCCGGAGGACAAGGCGGTTACAACGCTGGTGGATATTCCGGAGGTTATGGCGGTGGCTCATCTGCTGGCGCTTCCAAAGTTATTGTTGTCCAAGTACAAAATCAGGGAGGTTATGGTGGCGCCCAATCTGGTGGTTATACCGGTGGTTACAGCGGTGGTTACAACGGTGGTTACAACGGTGGTTACAACGGTGGTTATAGCGGCGGTTATAACGGTGGTGCATCTGCTGGCGCTACTAAATATGTTGTTGTACAAAATGCCGGCGGCTACAGTGGCGCCCAATCTGGTGGCTTTAGCCAAGGTGGTTATGGTGGCGTCCAATCTGGCGGCTGGAGCCAAGGTGGTTCCACTGGTGGTTATAACGGTGGTTCATCTGCCGGCGTTACTAAATATGTTGTTGTACAAAGTGCCGGTGCCCAATCTGGTGGCTATAGCCAAGGTGGTTATGGTGGCGCCCAATCTGGTGGCTGGAGCCAAGGTGGATCCGGTGGCTGGTAAAAACCAACATCAAATTTTCGGTGAATAAATAGTGAATGAGAACAAACCACAAACTAGAATAAGTAATTAGTTTAATGAAAAAAAAAACAAAATAAAACAAAATATTTTCTAATGAAAAACATACAAGTTATTGATTTGTTTTTTCTATTAAACAGTTCATCCACTGAAATCGAGTTATGACTAAATTTGTTGTTCAAAATTGTTCACAGAATGTTCGTAATTTTCTGGACGAAAAATGTCTATCAAATGTTTGAGTGGAATACACATTGTGGCATCTCGCTACTACACTGGTGCAGAAATAGTGCCACAAACCACCAAAAATCAATTAAAACGTCACCCGTAATACGGTTCACCATAAAGTTAGCCCTAATTTCCAGCCGAACAGGTTTCAATTCAATAAACCAATCCTTATAATGTCCGAATATGGGACTTATAGCTACATTCTTTCTAGTATATGTCTCACTAAGGATCAGTATTTTGTAAATATCATATATAGCGAACGGAGAATATAGATTCTTCCAAAGATTGATCATCGTAATATTATACCAAACTTAAATATAGTCCAAAAGTAATAGCCTAGACAGAAACAGCCTTAATTTGCATTAACAGCCTTAATTCAAATTAACTTGTACATTATCCTCATTTTTATGTGTTGTTAATGCACAAAATCAAACTGAATTTATACTGAATTAAGTAATTTCAATATGGCAATGCTGTAGAAAATAAATTGAATGTTGTCAAATTTGTTTACGTTTACGAAAATAAAAATTAAAAATAAAGGCAAAATTCAACATTTCTTCAAATTTGGAGCTGTTTCATCTTCATTATAGCTGTTAGTTTTCCTTCCTGCCATGTATCAATTTCAAAAAGATGTAATCCTAAAAAATATTGTAAAGAAATGACAATATTTTCTTCCTACACACAGACAAACAATAGTTTTGAAACAAAAAACTGGTTCATAAATGCAGAAACTTTCGTCTGTCAGGGGTAAATTTTAATTCAAATTAAGAACTTGTTAATGCAAATTAAGGCTGTCGTCTGTCTATGGTATAAGACCCGTCTAGCCGTCTTCTGGTACCTTCCCAAGAAGTGTCAATACGTTGAAAATGTTTGCCTATAATTTATTTGATTTCCTACCAAAAATTATCAATATAGGTTTACTTTTACGGAATAGCTCCAATAGAACACATTTTTCCTCCGATGCTATATCGAGTTCTTCAATTTGACATTTCAGGATATTGGAGAGTAAAACACATTTTGGCGGAAAATTTTCTAGTCCAAGATTTGATATATCCCCTTACATAAAGTTCTCTCTCCATTATAATTTTTATACCCTTCACCACACTGTGGTACAGGGTATTATGTCTTTGTGCATATGTTTGTAACTGGCAAAAATAATCGAGATAGACCCATGGTATCTTTTGAGAATGTACATAGAATCACTTTCTGAGTCGATTTATGCATGTCCGTCCGACTGTCCATCTGTTGGTGTTAAATTGTAAACAAAGTACAGGTCGCATTTAAAATCCAATTTGGATGAAATTTGGCACAGCTCATTTGTTAGGCCCAAGGAGATTTAGATATAGCTCCCATATATATTTTCGTCCGATTTAAGGAAAATGGTGTGCCAAAGTTCTTATATATCGTCCGATTTGCACGAAATTTGGCATAGCGTACTGACTTAAGTCTAGAATGATGTGTGCAAAGAAAATCGGTTCAGATTTAGATATAGCTCCCATATACAGTTTCGCCCGATTTTAGGTAAATAGTCCACTAAAGTCCCTATATATCGTTAGATTTGCCCGAAATTTGGCACAGCGTACTAAATTAAGTCTAGAATGATGTGTGCAAAGTTTCGTGAAAATCGGTTCAGATTTAGATATAGCTTCCATATACAGTTTCGCCCGATTTTAGGTAAATAGTCCACTAAAGTCCCTATATATCGTTAGATTTGCACGAAATTTGGCACAGCGTACTAAATTAAGTCTAGAATGATGTGTGCAAAGTTTCGTAAAAATCGGTTCAGATTTAGATATAGCTCCCATATATATTTTCGTCCGATTTAAGGTAAATGGTGTACCAAAGTTCCTATATATCTCCCGATTTGCACAAAATTTGGCATAGCGTACTGAATTAAGTATAGAATGATGTGTGCAAAGGTTCGTGGAAATCGGTTCAGATTTAGGTATTGCTCCCATATATATCTTCGTCCGATTTAAGGTAAATGGTGTACCAAAGTCCCTATATATCTTTCGATTTGCACGAATTTTGTTATAGCGTACTAAATTAAGTCTAGAATGATGTGTGCAAAGTTTCGTGAAAATCGGTTCAGATTTAGATATAGCTTCCATATAAAGCTTCGTCCGATTTAAGGTAAATTGTGTACCAATGTCCCTATATATCTTTCGATTTGCACGAAATTTGACATAGCGTACTGAATTAAGTATAGAATGATGTGTGCAAAGGTTCGTGGAAATCGGTTCAGATTTAGATATAGCTCCCATATATATCTTCGTCCGATTTAAGGTAAATAGTGTACCAAAGTCCCTATATATCTTTCGATTTGCACGAATTTTGTTATAGCGTACTGAATTAAGTATAGAATGATGTGTGCAAAGTTTCGTGAAAATAGGTTCAGATTTATATGTAGCTCCCATATATATTTTCGTCCGATTTTGTGTAATTGGTGCACTAAATTCCCTATATATCTTTCGATTTGCACGAATTTTGGTATAGGGTACTGAATTAAGTCTAGAATGATGTTGCTAGGCCGATTGACACAACGTACTGAAGTAATATAAATTAGTCTCTGGCAAGTTTTCCTGAAATCGGTTCAGATATAGACATATAACAAACACGCTACGTCTGTTAGGATACATATGTAGAATATACCCAAAGTGGTGAAGGGTATCATATAGACGGCCCAGTCCGACTTTACTACTTTCCTTACCGTTTTTTTAAGTTTTTGCAGCATATTCCCACCGAATTTTTGAAATAGGTGCCTGTGTTGACATGGTCTTCATATAAATGTCGGTATTAGAAAGGTCAGTATTATTAAGGTTTTGGCCTGCGAGCCACATGTTGGAGAGTTTTAAAAAATCCAGTTCGCCCGAACTTAATGCTTTTGTTTCATGTTTGGTATATCGAGGGTTATAGATGCATAATCGCCATATGTTCCCAATTTGGGGTATGTTGATGTTCCTAAGAAAGTAGAACAATATTTATTTTTTATTTTCAGCATTAGTCATTTTAGGCCATGTTCTGATATCAGTGTAACTCAATTAAGACTTCAGCTGTTCATTCACCTATAAAATTTACATATATTTACATTTACCTATATAAATAAATTATAAATGTTTATATCCAATTAGGGGCGAGAAATGGAAACAAACCAAAAGCATAACAAATACCACATTGCAAATTAATTTAAAATAATACTGAGAGATTCTTATACATTTTATTTACCTTTACCTATACGATACTACTTTTAAATATTTGTCTTTACTTTGTTGATTAATTATTAGACAATATTTAACTTCCGATATATTTATTTGTATTTCTCACACCGACTTTCTGCAGTACATCGAAGACAGCTTTCAGATGATTTCATATCAGAAATTTGTCTGTGTGTATGTTTTTTGTGAGATCTTCTCATCGTCCACATGTTATCGATTGTCTGGCATATTTTTAAATATATTGAAGAGTTTTATGGATTTAACGATCACAACCGGTTTCACGAGTTCTTCTACAAAATAAAAATGAAAAAAAAATGTTGGAATATTTCTTTACTCAATTAAAAATTCTATATAATTTCAATAGTTTTTGTTCTCAACACACAAAAATAGTTCCAACTCGTCTCATAAATGTTAATGTGTTTTTTAAACCTTACGTGAATAATTTAAGAAAAAAAGAAGATATTTTGTTTTGAACACCAAAAAAAACATCAATAGATAATTGGTGGGGGGTTCCCTTTTCAACCAAATCCATTTTATCGATACATTATTTAAAAACGTGTTATTTTCTAAGACTAGTCAATGTGATGCCGCCTTTTTGTCTATCTTACAATATACGGTCCACTATATATATATATACGAACATCAATATCTTCTGTAAATGGTGGTATAATATATTTCTACAACTTTCTAAAGTAACTAAAAAAGGAAAAAGAGAATAAATTTCTGCAGAAATCAACTTTATGCAAAATTCAGAGTGCTTTCTCTGTCCAGCAAAATAATTTGTAAAGACGTACAGACCAAAGTTATGGACCAATCTTCAATACTTTGTCTGTAGGACCGGTTCTGGTAAAAAATACCATTATTGTTGATCGATTAATGTTTAGGAGATAAAATCGACCAACAAGTTTATTTTTTGTCAGATTATGACACGAACATCAAGAAATTTAGTTTGGAGGAGGGGATCATGCCAAAGAATAAGCTTGCAAAGAATAAGTTTTGACCACGATTGATCAATATTTAGTGGGTCATATGAACCCTGATTTTGGGTGGAAAGTGACAAAAATTGAATTCTATGGGGTATATATTTACTTCTGAACAAAATAGACCCGAGAAGTTGACAGTATATTCCAGATGAGTGGTTGGTCTTTAAATTGAAATCAATCTTATTGTTCTATCTACTCTGATGTAGGACTTATACGTAAATATTGAAATGTGTATGTGTTATTAAATTCTTTAGTATTACTATTACCCTAATAAAGGACGGAAATGTCTTGCTGATCGCTTTGAAATTTTACATGAAATTTCGGTTTGGGTCAAAAACAATGCGTATAGATTTCGGTAATGTTGAAATGATATTAATGGGGATGAAATGGACCGAAAACGCCACAATTAAAAGCCGAACATGACTTTTTTGTTTAAAATCTTATGGAGTCATTTTTTACTTCGGGAAAAACTTGATTCGAAAAGATGCTGCAGATGAGCTGTTGACCTCTAACCGGTAAAGGTAATGCAAATATAGCTCAGTGTTTTTTTCTGAATCGTAAT